GTCCACTTGCGTTTTCAAGTGCAAACTATTACTGCTAATAACAAAAGTACTAGTTCTGTAATTATCATACTGCCTTTCATTTGCTGAAAAATAATAGTAAACACTAAATTCAGATTACATTGATGTATGCATTAGGCACCATTTGCCTATCATGAGGGTGCTTAGTGTTTTCTATTCGTTCAACATAATCCGTTTATTCTGTTCGCTTTTAGCTGTTGCTTAGAAATAGGACATGAATTGTTGACATAAGGAGATTCATATCAGACAATATGAATTCCAGGTGAATTTTAATCAGGTTGTATAATGGAGTGTACATATTCATGATGAGACTGTATGCAGTTAGTGCTGGGGATGTTGTTGTCCATTATTTGAAGTCAGAATGAAATACGCATCAATGTACAGAAGTAGTGATGCTTATCGGTGATAGTTTGAAGGCAGTTGACTTGTTGTATTCACCAAGGTGATGGATGATGAAACGCGGGTAAGTTCACTTTGCTGTAATCTCTTCAGTTTGATGATGTTCGCCTTATACGATCATCAAATGTTGCCATATTATTCACTATACTAGTTACGCATGATTGATAATTCAGACAGATGATGGCAAGACTAGTAGATTTTACTGGTGGCTGCGGTGACTGAAAAGGGAAGAGTAAAAATGTACGATTTTTATAGCCGACCACGTATTGGTTGCAATCGGATTCTGTTTAACATTGATATTAGTTATACACATGACCTAGCTGCTTAGTCTCTAGAATATCCAGAAGATTTTAGATACGACTTCTGTAATCGTTTTGAGCAATTTCAGTTGCCATAAGCCTCCATTTCTCTTTGATGACATTGCTCGAGATTGATTTCTTAAAGTTCTAGTAAGCTGTGACCTGTGAGGTCAGCTAGGTCACGTGTGAGGACAAACGCTCTCGTATGACACTGGGTGAGTGTTACACTGTTCCGCGAATTACCGGAAAAGGTAAGTGTGGATCATTGGATATCGACCTAGTGGGTAAATTATAGCGTGCTCGCCACTAGAAATGATGGTTGTGGGTACACTCCCTGGCAGCGTCATTCGCCTACACTTCTGAGGAGTTCAGTGTTAGGATGGAACAGTTATCCAGTGGTCCTGGCTTATCAGTAGCTCATCAACTGATGTCACTTCACGGTAAATACCACCTTGAAATCGATCAATCCCCACAAACCTCCAAACTGAATTTCTGAACACTCAAACGGAACACTTTAGTCGTACTGACTAAAGATCAAATAACTAGCATGGTAGCAGAGATATAGTTACCCAAGTGATAAATGTGTGAACAAGCTCCTGAATCAGAAGATCGGTTACATTTAAAAAGTGTCTGAACTTCTGTCAGACGAAAACAGGTTGTCCAAAGCACTAAGCAATTGAGTAGAGGGGAGATAATGGAATGTCGATAGACTCAAGTCCCCAATGAATGCATAATGAATCATTTATGAGTTATTTTAACAACAAGGAATTATTGAACCAAACCTATCTCGTTTTTATGAAGTGTGGATAAAACCAACTTGCCATAGGTTTAGTAATGAAAGTATTTGGCTCACTTTGTCACTCGTCAGTCAGACTGTTCGCTAACTTCAAGAATCAATCAGAAGGGTAATTTCTAACTACGCTTTATGCACGCTTTATACACTTGAGTTTATCGATTTCATAAGTAATGTGAGTACTCTGGATACTGTCATGACACCATCTGATGTTATTTCGGTGTTCATAAAAACCCAACTACTTGCAATTTTCCATTTTGTGTGCAGCTACTTTGAATCAGATGCGATAAACATAGGGACGGCTATGAACTAGCTGAAAGTACTACAGTCAAAGTGCACCTTCGACTCAAATTACAGCTTATATAACACACTTTGTCGCTAGACGGACAAAGCACCAAAGTGGTTCGAATTCACTTCACTTTAAGCAGACATAGCTGTTCAACCTGAAAACAACGGTACTCAGTTTGATTGTCACACAATTACAGTTATATGGAAGGTATGTTTATGTTGTATTCATTGTCTGTAACAAGCATTTCGGCATGCAAGAAGTTCTGTGGTACTTCCATGAATGTCACTCCTTACAGAATTTTGAAATGCTATGGAAACTGCATTCAGGGACAACATTTCATGAAGTATTTTTAGCAAGCAAGGATGGTGCGACCAGTAAGATGAACAGAAAAATGAAATTAATGTCTTGTTTTTCATCAGAAATTGACCCAGTTACCTTTTTTTATATCCAGGGGATTTATACTGCTGAGACTTCAGAAGACAAAATTTAATTTCTAAAACTGATTTTCATCAAATATGGATGCCTAGAAACATTCTTAGATGAAATTCTTAACCGGAATACTACTGGTCAGTCACCAATCAAACAGGGAAATGTATGAGCTACATTTGAATTTGGGATTCAGCAGAGATGCAGCAGGTGAGCTTTTAAGACACAAATTTATGAAGGTTATCTTAAAAGCATTCTCTGCAACTAGTACACAAGTAACATGCACTAGCTGCTCAGTGCTGAAAATGTTTGGGGACGGAAAGGTATCCATTGGTGACAGCCTAGATGTGTATTTATCAGCTCACCTTCTCCTGTGAAACTAGGTACAATAATTTTAAACACTGAAAGTTTATACAGTGTCACAGCCAACAATATGATCTAATATAAGTCAATGCAGATAGATCAATAGTTGTATCTCACAATATTCAGTTAACATTAAATACATGTGTTTGGAAGATTCCTCATGTTTAGGCGACAGAATTCAACGTAATCTTTAAAAGTGCACGAAGAATTGTTTGGTTTATATTGCATGAGCTCAGGTCAAACAAAAGTCTAAACGCGTTTCAGGCATTCATAGGTGAGTTATCTATTCACTTTATTGACTTATATAGAAAATCTGTACTATCAAGTATTCCTCATTGCCCAATAACGACTCAAATATATGTATTTACAGTGTACAATATTTACTTAATCCAGGCAAATATCACCATTGAATGGGTTTTCTTACCCAAACCTTCATAACTAAATTAGTGCTGAAGATGACACTAAGCCTAGTGATGAAAAATTCACGACAAAATATCAAAGCTTGAGAACATCAAACTGCCAGCAGTAATCACTTGGCACTATTGTTTATACAATGTTTCAAAATCTGTCAGGTCAAGACATACAATAGTTAACTTACTTGGACTTGCTCCCAGGCTTTCTGCCACTCGACCGACTACAAAGTACAAAGTCGTGCCTAATTCACCTCATAGTATTAATTTTTAGCATGTATCTATTGAGAAGAGAAATACACCACCTTTACTTTCATTACCAAGAAGGATGACAAAATATTCATAGGTGATGCGTCCTGTTGATACATTACACATAATATAAATTTGTGAATAAAATATTGTGTGGTTTTTCCTAGTGACGATTAAACTTTTAACCATATGTTGTTCATATCCACCTTATCAAAACTAGGTACGTGTTCTTTACACTTGCAGAGTGTAAGTTGATAAATAAGAACCAAGTTGAATGGTGTACGTCTAAAACTAAATTTGTCAAAATTACTTATCAGGAAGAAATTGAGGGAAAGTGGATGTGAGTTCTTACGTTCGGAATTTGTGCATGCAAAACTCATGATCAGTGTTTTTTGTTTTACTAAAGTTTTAACTACAAAAAGAGATGTATGAACAAACAAGTTTTACCATCCACCTGCTGGTATCTTGTCTCCCTCCATTCATATAGTCAAATCAACAGGATAGGCTTGCATCCTAATTTGAAATTTTCTAGAAGTTAAGATTATTCCTCATATTTTCTTGTGCACCTTTCTGAACTCGGCTAATGGCAGATAATCTTAATCCGAATGTTCAATTTCACTGCTTGGCAGCGATTAGGTTGAAGGTAAATCAGTGGTATATCGAAAGCCTTAAACCACAATGTAAGTTATTCAACTAGGTGATTTTTCATACCCTTTTATTAATCCTATAGGTGTGAGCTATGAAACCATTATTCTTTGAGTTTTAATTTAAGTGGAAAGTATTTTTGCGTAAAGTTTTAGTGCAAAGAGTGCTACACAGTTGCTTTCGAGTTATTGAAGTAACCTTCTGACCAGAAGAGCAAAATGAGGGTGTAACCCTGAACTACTATCTTCTTTACATTGTATAAAAGCATGCAAGTTTCTTCTAATTCATTATGACAAGAGAATAATTTATAAACGACTCACCACTTGTTCTAATGACAGCTAGTAAATTCACGAAAGTGAAACAATACATTTTCAAAATACAGAAGTAGGTCTCTCGTCTTTATATACCAATTACCAGTTGGCAATAGATCAATAAGAAACAGTGTCATTGCAAACAGAGAGTTTAGATATCTGTATGACAAAAAACTCAGAGAGTGGTTGGTGAACTGAAGAAACTAGTTACATTCCTACTCTTTCATACATCAGAAGCAAATGCCAGAAAATTTCTTCAACGTAAAGCATGAATATTGAAATTTCGATCGTAATTCTATCTACATAGTGATGCATTACGCTGCCAGTCACAAACCACTTCGTCAGGGCAAGTTAGTGAAACAATCACGGAGAGATATTAACAGCTCACCTCATACTGCAGTTAGTGCTGATGATGTTGGCTAGAAAGACGATGAAAACTTCACCAATGAACCATACAGCTTAGAGAACACAATACAACGAAGACAATAACATTGCTTTTATTGTTTTTCTTCAATGGACTCTTTCCCTGCAAATCATTGAGATTCGTGGACAAATTTCTATCAGCATCTAAGATTGAAGGATCGGTCTCCATCAACTAGACAATTCGCATCGATTTAGTTACCTTGACAAATTTGAACTATGCAAGAACGTAGACATTTGCAGAATAAAATGAGCTCATTTTATTTCATGGCCTTTCATCAGCTGCAAACAGCCTACAATTGAAATGAATTATTATTAGCAATAATAATGTAACGCAGTTTAAATACGCAAAAATAAATGTAGATTTATTAATAGTTACTAATACTTACCTGGCACGCACTTGCTTCGAACACTCCAGACTCCATTTTGACAAACAGTAATCGGTTGATTTGATTTAACTAATGCAAACCCCGTCTGACAGGTGACATTTAATTCTGAACCATGTCTAACTTTTCCTCCTGGAAGAATTTTACCATCTGAGATTGTATTCACTGACTGCTTTTGTGTATCATCAATGATGCCAGTCTCAGCAGTAGTGATTTGGATTAACTGTACATCCCCTTTTGGTCCTCGATGAATTAGGTAAACATCTCCATGTTCAACAGTAAATAAATAGCAATGTCGGTAGCACTGTGGAAATGGATGAGGATTCCACATAGTAGTCGTTCCATTCACTCCACATATGATCTCATTATCTTCTGTAGACAAAGTTGTGTCATCTTCACATTTGATTTACAGGTTGATTGGTATAAAAATTTTATTAGCTTTCTATTCCATGTATAAAATTTTGTAGTCCAGGCTTTCTTCAGATCAAAACTAAGCTCATGTGCGAATTATAGTACAGTCACAAAACGCATCACCGCAGGAGAACACACTTGACGTTCAGCATATTCTTATGAAACTTGCGAAGAGTTTAGCCATGTCTTTGAAGGCGTGAAATTTACACTTCTGTGCATATAATGTTCTGTTTGCAGCATAATGAGTAATATATTATTACATAGCTTCGGCGCAGGATATGAAATTCGAAGAAAATTTATGTCGTTTAACTTAGTGGAGGCGTATTTTTATGACAGTGTTATCACAATTATTTGGAATTGATGGGGTGCGAATTTTGACATATTTACTTGTTTCACTGTGACTCTTTCGATCATACTGAAATTGATTTCTCAGTTTTAGATGAACTGCTACCTTAAATAACTGGGGAAATGACAGAGGGAGTGGCTCATATGCAGAAGATGATTGTAAACTTCTTGTTCAGAGTGTTCTTCGACATAATTGTCATTTTTCATTATATTGTCTTTTTCCAGGTGATATTTCGGTCATAAATGTTTATAATTGTAAATGAGGTTTTAAACCAAAACCTACATTTGATTCCGTTTCAACTTCGAGTAGCACGGTTTTGAATATCAATAAATTTTATAACACTCCTATTACGCGCTTGTTCTCTGCATATTTTCCTATTTGGTACGCTTTTAGTGTAGTATTTATCACATCTTGAATTTTTACTTTCCAAGGTATTAAAGTTTCACTCAGACCCTTCTTTCCATTAAATTTCTGTCTCACAGTCAAAAGCGATTTCCTATCGCTGGGCTTAAATTTTAGTTGGATATGGGCGTACATGTTATAAATATGAGAGACTTTTAGGACCACCCAAGCAACTGATGACAGCCAATTAGGTTTCTTTATTTCAGCTGAAAAGGCAAATTTTTATCAAATAAAGAAGTTTGGTTGGTTATTCTAGTTGTTGCTTGGATGGCCTTTAAAGTCACTCGTTAAATATTTAGCTATCCAACTTCCTCACATTATAGATATCAACACTAACATGGCTGTAGTTGATGAATCGTTGACACAATCAACGAATTTCCAACAAATTTGCCATAACGCTGGTTCAGCGTTCGCTTAAATTTGCTTTTATTTTCCAGGTGTTAAATTTACTTGTTTAGACTTCCCAGACAAAGAACTGGGATAACTAGGCAATCGAAGCTAGTTATGAAAAGTCCTAGTATCAATAATACGTAGATTCACAAATGTTGGGTCTAGAAAACCAGTCTGAATATGCCTCAGGTAAAATGTAGAACATTAACATATCAGTAGCCTAGATATCATTTTAAACAACTACCTGTTTATGTCAATCAAAAGGTAACGCTTATCAAGGAATATTAACCCATTTCTGCCTATGTAGTTAACACCTCAAGAGCAGTTAAATTTATAAATACAGATCGATGCGGCCAGATTCCGAAGCCTATCATTCTACTGCATTGGTATCATACAGCGACTAGTAAATTTCAAACATATTGTAGTGGTAAAGAATATTTTTCTATCATATTTCCGAGTTTTAGCGTCAGTGTTACCGCAGCTGCATCTTCTCTGAACGCTAAAGTTAGATATAATTATTTCTTCTGCACTATCTGAAAGCACTTTCCTCCAGTTGTTTTCATTGTTACAGTCCTCACAAACTTTTTAGCATAGCTATTCTGGTATGACGAGTTCTATGTTATTGTTATTTCACCGTCCAAGGTGTCAGCTGTGCAAACCTTTATTTTTTTTATTATTACTTGTCCCTTGGGTTTCCGTTGGAACATATGGCTTCAGTAGCACGTCTCTAATCCCCTCTGTTCTCTGAAATCCTTTGAACCTGGCTCCACGACAGCCCGCAAGCTATCATTTCCTCCTCGCACGACCTCCTCCATGTCACCCTCGCCTCGGACACCCAACTCGTCGCTTCCCATCTGGGTTCCGTTCGACGGCCTGGCCTGGCGCGTGATGCCCCCAATCGGCCCTCTCAGTGTATGCCCAATCCATCTCCACTTCCTTCCAATGCATATTTGTTGAGCGATAGGTTCTTGGTTAGTTCGTCACCAGCCAGAGTTCCTTGTTGCTTATTCTTATTATTCTGGCCATCTGATCTTCAGTAACGAGCCAGCGTAGGCATTTTCTGATGAATGTCTGTAGTTTATTGAAAATCCCTTTCGTAACGCGCCAAGTCTCTGAGCCATACAGGAGCACTGACTTGATGCTGGTGTTGAAAATCCAGATCTTGTTCCATTTGCTGAGTGCAGAAGATCTTCACACTGGTTTCAGGTTAATGAACGCCTGTTTTGCTTTTCCTATTCTGAAAAGCAACATCAGTGTATGGATTAAATTCCTTTTGTACCTATGAGAGAGAAATTATCGGAAATGTGTATACTGACCAACTCATGATTTCTTGCGAGATATACGGCTTCTGGTGCTGCCATCTGTTTTTCTTGATTGGAAAGCATCCAAAGGTGGAAGACATTAACCTTTCTCTGTTTTAAGTTTTGACCTGATTTCTGGATAATCACAACTGCATTTACTGAGAAAAATGTCAGGATTAGTATCGTTTTGTGGAGAACAAAAGTGTCATCCGTGTATCTCCAATACAAGGACAGGTTATCTATCGTGCTATGCAGTAATCCACCTTCTAATTTCGCTATAAACATGTCTGGTAGAAGCGAACCCAATGGTGAACCTATTTCCACACCTATCTAACTGTAAATTTTTTTGCTAAAGTGAAAGCATACATTCACCGTACAACAAAGCAGCAGCTCTCAGAGGGTTGCAAGTGGCATACGTACTTTCATTTTTTTATCTAGCAGTGAACCACAAATAAAATCAATTGTTTCCAGAAGAGGAACACTGGTAAACAAGGGATAAACATCCATAGAACTCAATGTTTCGTTACTAATATTCTTGTCTTCAACTTTTGAAATAAATTCAAGTGTTCCTTAAGCTAAAATTAGCCATCTTATATTGTATCGATTTCATTATATCTGCAGCCATCTTGCCACTTCATAATACCATGAATTGAACACGTCTAAGATAGGACACATTCGTAAGGTAGATTTATGGATATTGGGCACTCCATAAATTAATATAGGTGTAAAACTTGGGCACTGTGATAGAATTTAGTTTTGTGTTAGATATGTTTATTTGATTTATAACACACAGTAATATAGTATTATTTACATGATGATGACTTTTCGAGTATAAATTATCATTGCTCATAATCATATCAGTGTAATCACACAACTTTCGACACTTGATTTTTATAGTTACTTCACCTCATATGATTTGTTTTTATGAGTAATAAAATCTTCCATATCTCTGGTATGGGTGTTGCATCATATCTATTACATATGTTGAGTGTTGATTTGGTGAACAAAGATTGAATATCATTTGATTATCTGAGATAGACGTAGTTTTTCAGAATAGTTTTTATACTGGGTGATGATTGAAGGTGAGATGAAAATCTGGACCACGACTGTATTTTCATCTCACCTTCAATCATCACCCCATGTCGACAATATGGTGGCGATATGTGGATGATGCATTCACTGTTTTGAAATTGGAACATATCGATAATTTCCTCACACCTATAAACCCAGTAGTAGGCGCGATCCAATTCACGTATGAGGTAGAAAATGAACAAGGAGAATTACGTGTAATAGATTGCAAGATAAAAAGAAGGACGGATGGTGGTTTAGATACTTCTGTCTACAGAAAACCGACACATTCCAACAGGTATCTAAACTTCAAGTCATCCCATCCAATGTCAGTTAAGGCAGGTTTAGTCAAATGTCTAAGTGATAGAGTTAGAAAACTGACTAGTCAGTGCAAGAACCAAGACAAAGAATTGAAGCATGTGAAAGAAGCGTTAATAATTGATTACTATCCCCGACCGTTTATCAAGAAATCCATACGAACACATAAGAAACGAAATAATACCAGTAATGTGAATACATATAATGGCGACAACCCAAGTAGAAAGGAGATAACAGCCTCTAATGTGTGACCCTATTAGGAAGAAACATCAGAAATTTTATGGAGGATCTTTAACAAGGCTGAAATTAGGGTGGCATTTAAGCTTATCCGACTTAAAGATCCAATAGAACCAATTAATCAAAATAATCTAATCTATCGAATTCCTTGTAATGACTTTGAGGTCAAGTACATAGGTGAAATTAGCTGGTTGGGGTCAGTTAGAATAGTCGAACATAGGAATTTATCTAAATATAGAACGGCAGACCTGAATAAGATCAGTAATCTGGAAAAAAACAGCTGCTGCATCGCATGCATTAACATACTACCATACAATAGGCTGGGTAGGAAGAAACCATTGTACTTAAGTCGAAAATAATTAGGTGGAGAGGGAAAGAAACATTGATTACTGAATCTTTGTCCACCAAATCAACACTCAACATATGTAATAGATATGATGCAACACCCATACCAGATATATGGAAGATTTTATTACTCATAAAAACAAATCATATGAGGCGAAGTAACCATAAAAATCAAGTGTCGAAAGTTGTGTGATTACATTGATATGATTATGAGCAATGATAATTTATACTCGAAAAGTCATCATCATGTAAATAATACTATATTACTGTGTGTTATAAATCAAATAAAGAAATCTAATGTGCCATCTATGCATTCTTGTTATGTCAGTACCTACGGGCCTAATTCATCTGAAAGTATTCGGTGAGATTGTGAATGTTTTTAAAATTTTTTTGCATTTTCATAGTGTGATCTCATCCATCCACCGATTTCAGAAATTTTGTAATATATTGGAGTATGCTATTCATTTTATCATTATTGTCGTCTTTATTCAAGAGTACGACTCCACTTCTTTT